TTTTATTATTTTATGATAAGATTTTAAAATTGTAAGATCCGACTGTCACAGCTTCGTAAGAAATAAAATTTTATTTTGACTCCTTATTATTATTTTCATATTTTGAAATTACTGCTATGTTATATATTTTATCTGAAAATAACGATGCTTGTTTTATTCAATTCTGTCAATCCGTAATTTGAAAAAGTGCACTTTAAATTGAAATTGGCGCGAATTGATGCAATGACGGAGCGACATCTTCTGACTATCGCGTACAGAAGAATTTTAGAAAAGTAATTAAAATGTGTGATTATTGCGATTATGGTTATGTTTTCCGAGTGCCTATCGCCTAGAAAGATTTGAATTGATTTTGAGTGATCCAGTGAATTTCTTCATCGTACCTCTGTAAATTATATTCATGATATAATTAAAAATATATAATATACAGTACATAAATAATTATTACATGTACAGAATAACCTAATTGAGAGTACACCGTTGGAAATCCGCGGCGGAGGCAATTTAAAATTACGTGTTCAAGATGAAGAGATCGCATTCACGAAGGGATGAGAACGAGAACGAGGAACGTTCTCGTAAGCGCAGAGACCGCAAACATGATGACTCCAAAGAATTAGAACATAACGGCGATCATAGGAATTCCAGGCACCACGATGATCACAGGAGTTCCAAGCATGATAGCGATCATCGGAGCTCCCGACGCAACGATCACAGAGATCGTAGGTACAGCGACGATCGTGGAGATCTCAGGGACAGCGACGGCGAAGCAAGCGGAAAGCGGAATTCGCCGCGGGAAGAGATTGGCAACAGGTATTATGGAGAACCGGATAAAGCGCGAGAGAATCCAGAGGATGCCAAGCAGAAGCGGACGGTAGATCTTTTGACCTCGAGGACGGGAGGCGCGTACATCCCACCTGCCAAATTGCGTATGCTCCAAGCGGAGATCACTGACAAGTCAGGAGCCGCTTATCAACGTATTGCCTGGGAAGCGTTAAAAAAATCTATTCACGGATACATCAATAAAGTAAACACCAGCAACATCGGGATCATAACGCGTGAGCTGCTGCACGAGAACATCATCCGAGGTAGAGGTCTGTTAGCACGGTCTATTATTCAAGCACAAGCTGCGTCTCCAACATTTACTCCAGTTTACGCTGCACTGACATCTATAATCAATTCTAAGTTTCCTAACATAGGCGAGTTGGTGCTAAAACGGCTTGTTCTACAATTCAAACGTGGATTCAAAAGAAATGATAAACCTTTATGCATTTCTTCAGGAACTTTTATAGCGCATTTGATTAACCAGCGTGTGGCTTATGAGATTATCGCTTTGGAAGTCTTGACTCTACTGCTGGAGACACCAACTGACGATTCTGTCGAAGTAGCCATTGCATTTTTGAAGGAATGTGGTATGAAACTGACAGAGGTTTCGCGAAGGGGTATCGAGGCTATCTTTGAAATGCTGAGAAACATACTGCATGAGGGACAATTGGATAAGCGAGTCCAGTATATGATAGAAGTTATGTTTCAGATCAGGAAGGATGGATTTAAGGATCACGAGGCTGTACCCGAAGAACTGGATCTCGTGGAGGAGGAACATCAAATCACTCATTTGATAAGATTGGATGACGAGATGGAAGCGCAAGATATATTAAACGTGTTCAAGTTTGACGCTGATTATCTTGCCTCCGAAGAGAAGTACAAGCAATTGTGTAAAGAAATTCTTGGCTCGGATATCAGTGATTCAGAAGGCGACGATGAAGATGGAGAAGAAGAAAGCTCGGACAACGACAGCAGCACAGAACAGACCGAAGGAAAAGAAGGAGTGATCCTTGATAATACAGAAACAAATCTGACTGCACTTCGACGAACTATATATCTGACTATACACTCTTCGCTCGATTTCGAAGAGTGTGCACATAAATTGATGAAAATGCAACTGAAACCTGGGCAGGAGATCGAGCTATGTCATATGTTTTTGGACTGTTGCGCGGAAATGCGGACATATGAGAAGTTCTTCGGCCTTCTAGCCGGTCGGTTTTGCGCCATTAATAAAATATATGTGACGCCGTTCGAGCAGATTTTCAAAGACTCTTATCATACGATACACCGCCTCGACACGAACAAGTTGCGGAACGTATCGAAATTCTTCGCGCATTTACTGTTTACAGATTCCATATCGTGGAGCGTACTTTCGTGCATAAAACTGAATGAGGAAGACACTACGAGTTCCAACAGAATATTTATCAAGATCTTGTTTCAGGAGCTCTCTGAGTACATGGGTCTGGCAAAGCTGAACGAACGGGTTAAAGATGTAACGTTGCAAGAGGTGTTTGAAGGACTATTTCCCAGAGACGATCCAAAGAACACGCGTTTTGCGATCAACTTCTTTACGTCGATCGGCTTGGGTGGTTTGACAGATGATTTGAGAGAACATTTAAAATCCCATCCGAAGCCAGTTGCTGTGCCGACATTAATTACCAAGGAAGAAGAACCGTCGAGCTCTGACGAGTCTAGCAGTTCGTCATCCAGTTCCAGCCCGTCTAGTTCAACGACAACTTCTTCAACCGATTCTTCTTCATCATCATCATCATCAGAGGATGAAGTTCCAGCGAAGAAGAAGAAAAAGAAAGTGTTGCGTAAACGAAAAGAAAATAAATCGAAATCGAAAGACAAGAAGGAAGAAAAGACTAAGAAAGTGCCTAGCAAGAAGAAGAAAGGCAAGACGAAAAAGGACAAATGAAACAGATATAGAAATTAAGTAATACAAAAGTAAGAGACCTTTTTATAGTGTATATGATAAAGCTATTCTATACAAATTATATAATATAATATATTCTGTGATTTACATTTGACTAAGTTTTTAAAATTTCGAGCGAGCAGGAATAATAAATGGACATATAATATTTATTCTATTTTTGCATACTATTTATTATTCGTTAGACGTAAATTAAAATCATAGATCCGCATTCGTCTATAATAAGCATATCTATATCTGTATCTGTAAACATCTTAACTCCCCGAAATAATCGGCATGCAGTTAGATCTCGAAATTGTATAAATGTACAAGAAATATTAGACATGAAGAATCTCCTTAATCAAATATGTTGTTTTTCACTCATGTGAATTCAATAATGTGTGTGTGTGTGTGTGTGTGTGTGTGTGTATGTGTGTGTGTGTGTGTATGTGTGTGTGTGTGTGAGTGTGTGTGTGTGAGTGTGTATTGATCTTTTTTAATTTTCCAAACTTAAATTAACGCAAATACATTAAAAACTGATTACTTTATTTTTCAAACAACGCAATTTTTTGAACAACAATAATTATTTATACAATTAATTTATTAATTTATACAATTATTCACTAAAACTAAATATATAATAACTAGATTATTTTTTTCTTGTGTAAAATATTTATCATTATTATTTGAAAACAATTCATATTGCTATTATATAGAAGTTATTTTTATATTATTTTTACATTATTTAATAAAATAAGATGTAATTATTAATTTAAATAGAAAAATGTCATTATAATTTCTTAAATAAATAATATTAGCCATGATATTTATTTCTTTAGAGTAATTAATTATTTATGGACTAATTAATATCTATTTAATATCTATTTAAATGGATAAAAATAATCATACATTTTCTCAGATATATAAAAAATTTTTATTACAGTTTATAATTAGTATAAAATTCTGTACACAAATCAATAAGAATGTTTTTATATGCATGATTTTATATGCACATCAAATTAGATGGAACATTTTGCATATTTGTCTAATTGAATTCTTTAAATTATACAAGATCATTTTCTTTCTAAAAAATTTTGTTTGCGTTCGTGAATGATATCACAACGACTTCAATTTTACACGGAATATAGATATAATAAGAAACAATAATGACCACCCTATACTTATTAATAAGCCAATATAAATTTGTGGCTTAGATATGGAATATCCCTTGTAGATGATTTCTCTCAATGATATAGAGGGCAAAGTAGTTGGCAATGCGTAGCTAAACCAGCGAAGCATTTTTGGCATTCCCTCTATTGGCCACATAGATCCTATGATTTTGTCAATTAATATATTGATAAAAATTTGATTAACGTAAGATAATTATTCTTAAGATATTGTTGTTAATTTGAACTAACATTTGCTAATTTTTTATATTAATAATAATATAACGTAACAAAAAATTGTAAATTCAGAAATAATCAAATTAATAATATTATCATGTAACGATATTAGATTAAAAAAAAAAGATTTCCTAATGCATAAAGAGTAAAGATTTACCGTTGAGGAATATTAACAGGAAAAAACTTCCGGCTGCACTGTAATGCGCTACAATGAGATTTTTGCATGTAACAGAGATAATAAAACCTGAAAATATATTAACATAATTATCAGTTTAGTTTCCAGTTTCTGAATTACTACTATAAAAATTACTACTATATATAACTACGGGTGAACTTCCGAAAGGATGAACTTCAATTTTATTGTCGATTGGTATACTACTGAATTTTGGTATACTACTGAATTTGGTGTGCTGATTACAAATATGATCATGAAAATTACCGATCATTTTGACAGTTATTTGCCACGCAATCTGGCTAAGCGCTCCCCTGCTTAGGAACACACGACTTTCCTCGCGAAACACGAAAAAAATGTTTAAAAAAGTCTTTTAGATATTTGATCTTGAAAATGACTTTGTCAGCAATTTTTATTATATTTGTAATCAAAGCATCAAAATATAGTAGTATATCAATCGAATCAAGGGATAAAAAAATCAAGGGATTCACCTTTTCAAAAGTCTATTCATAATTACTACTATACAAGATGAACCATTTTAATTTATTCAGTCGATTTTTTCAAAATCTGTAAGTTTAAAAATGTTCCAAATAAAAGTTTTATAGTTTCAAGACAGAAGTTGATGACTTTGATTGATTTTGAGATATCCTTAAGATCAAGTCAAAACTTTCTAAAATTTTTTTAATGAAACCCCTTATATTTTATTACATGTTCTTATACTTGTCTTCAAGACCTTTTGAAAACACTATAATAAAATTTATTTGCATTAAGTACTTTTTAAATTATGACTTGAAAGTTACAGTATCGCTGGCATTTGCATTACTCAAGGTCAGAGTGATGGTCAAAACTTTTGGAATATTGTTTACTTGTTTAATCATGACGTTGATAACTATTTCTTATTACATATTATAATTTAATTTGGTCCAATGTCAAATTCAAGGTCCGAGAGAATTGAAAATAACAAAAACCATTTATACATATTCTATTTAAGGATCAATTGAATATGAGAATCTTTTTCATCGAAATTTATTGCTCTAAGCCTCACGAATACAATTTAGTTGATAGACCGAATTACACCTTCAAAGTTTTTGGAAAACAACTATTGGCTTGAATCTGATCTTGAATCAAATTAAATTATATTATGATATATAGTAACCTGTAAGTTTATTTTGTGAACAACATTCCAAAGATTTTAACCATCACTTTGACACTTTAGGTAATGCAAATGCCAATGGTACTGTAACTTTCAAGCGTCATAATTCGAAAAGTATTTAATTCGAAATAAATAATAAATAATAAATAATAAAATAATAAATAATTCGAAAAGTATTTAATGAAAATGAATTTTATTATAATGTTTTCAAAAGGTCTTAAAGACAGCTATAAGGATATGTAATAAAAAAAGAGGAGTTCCGTTCAAAAAATTTTAGATAATCTTGATCTAATCTTAAGGACATCTCAAAATCACCAACTTTTTTCCTGCTTAAACTATAAAATTTTTGTCTGAAACATTTTTTTAAACTTATAGATTTTGAGAAAATCGATTATATTAAAATGATTAATTAAAATGATATATTAAATATATTAAAATGATTCACTCTTTCTTTAATAACTGAATTGCATCGTATTTAGAATCGTACCGTACATTAATCCGCAAAAACCCGAGAAAAATGTGGAGACCATTACAGTAAATATCGATCCTTTACATTCTAGGCCCCATATAGGAAATATTAAGAGCATTATCGTAATTGTATGGATGATAATGATGACGCTCTGAATAAGAATGTGAGACAGCAGAATTTCTTCTGTTCTGATCCCTATCACATATTTATATTACACATTTGCATTATTGTGATAAGAAATAAAATGATGAAACAATTGTAAAACATAATCTTGGACGCGACAATATATTAATAAATTACCTTGAACTACACTTCGATCCCAGACACCCTCCATTCGATCTGTAATTATTAAAGTGATAGAAACTGTAGCGGCTAAGAAGAAGCTAAGTCTGCAAGAATATAAATAATTTAGTAACAGCAATTAATTTCATTCCAATTGAGTTAAATTGATTTTCGCTTATCCTAGTATGTAAGTTGGTATCATGTAATCTGTATACTTGAAGTCGGTCGTACCATAAATAGGTTCTTCAAACTTAAAAAGAATATAATTTTATTCCTTCATTTTAGTTCTTCATGAGAGAGAGAGAGAGAGAGAGAGAGAGAGAGAGAGAGAGAGAGAGAGAGAGAGAGAGAGAAGAGGGCGGAGAGAGGGATGGGGAGAGGGGGAAGGAGGGATGGGGGAAAGGGGAGGTAGGGATGGATGGATGGAAAGGAAGAGAGAGAGAGAGAGAGGGAGAGAGAGACGAATAATGCATAACATAGATTTTGCTGAAGTATCCAAATATTTATTAATATTTGCTAGATATAATAGATTTGAAAATAATTTTATTAGAGCATCAAAATTTTTAGGTAAGAATCAAGTATAAAACCTAAAAATTTTAATGTTCTAAAATTATTTTCAGATCTGTATCTAATTAAATTTTTGGATACTTCAACAAAATCATTCTCTCCGTGGAGAAGTTCAATAATAATTATGTGACCTTATTTTCTTTAAAAAAATAACAAATAAAAATGACAAATTTGAAAATTTTAGTTTTCTTCCTACATGTTTTCAAAGCAGTTTGACTGTCAAGAATCTGTCAAGAATCAGCTTTATAAAATTTTATTGCACAGTGCTAATAATTAAATTGAGATAATGCCCAATTTTCTGATAATTGAAACTGGTTCGACTGTATTGGAACAAACCCTTAATCTGAAATAATAGAAATAATAAAAAATGAAAACAACTCTAATTTGAATAAATTTATATTTTCTGTAAAAATTTGCTCATTAATATAATATTATATATATAGACATTGGAACGCTAATTAGAAAAGAATTTCTTGTAATGTCAAAATAAAAGATAATATTGGAAAATAAAGGACAAAATTGAGTTTTGAAGAAACAAATAAATCTAAAGGATAGCTATCTAAAATAAAGAACTGTCCTTTACAGTAAAGGACATATGCTCATCGTAATAATAACTAATTTTAAAATATACTTACTCGGATAGGTAGATTGGCCAATTTTGGCGAATATTTGCAGTCTCTCATGATATCTTCATAAGCATCTAAGAAACGATTGAATAATTTCTTCTGTATATAAAGTCCAATTTGCATATCTATAACAGAGTTGTAAATTTACGTATTTGTAATTTCTAATGCATCGTTTAATTTACGTTTCTGCTAAAATATTTATGATATGATACCTTACTGATTCTCAATTTCTTAGATCTTTTTGCATAATTTTTTAAATAGTATATTTTAAATAGTATATTTTTAAATAGTATATTTTATTTTTTTATATTTTAAATAATATTTTTATATATATAAATTAATTAAACTTTTTAAATTTTTAAACGATTAAAACGCATTGTCAATATATAACGTACCGCCCATATCGAGGAAAATTTGAATTTGACTGGCGAGTAAATCGGAATCTTTCGCGGAAGCGGCTTCTTCCACTCGTATCAAGCAAAGCTTTGGAGAAGTTATGACTAAAATATATCAAACCACTGAGCTTCGCATTTTGTACAGCCTGTTTCGCTTCGGAAAAGTCGTCATAATACTCCTGCAAGCGAAATATTAATAAGAACATTTTTAAAACATTTAATGTTTTGATTATTGTTACAATCATCCTCTCGGTTACATCGTTACATGACATATAACCGCCTTCTTAATTTATATGAAAATGTGTATGCGCGCGCGCGCGTGTGTATGTGTGTGTGTGTTTGTGTGTGTGTGTGTGTGTGTGTGTGTGTGTTAAAATTTTTATATTTCAATTTATGGAATATGGGAAAAATGTTAAGAAAAGGGAGTTTGCCGATCAATTGTCTATATCAACACAGCAACGTTTGCTTATATCACTTTTAGTTCGTTTGTGTACAAAAATATATGTACTATTACGCATAAATATAAAATTAAGAGGTAGAAGCACTACATAGCATGATGCTATTGCGCACAAATTACATTGCATACATAATATTATTGCCCATAGATCGATTGCCTACATATATTATTGCCTATAACTTGATTATTTACATTTTTGCGGACAAATAAAAATTTTAGAAACAAAGTCACATTTGTATACACGATATGTATTATTGTCTACAAATCGATTACCTAGCATTTTTGTGTACAAATATAAAATTAAGATTAATCTACGTAAGAAAATAATTTGTATTTTTAAAATAGGAAATTTATGTTTTAAAGTACAGAATTTGTTTTAAAAGAGAAGATTTGTATTTTTAAAGCAAAAAATTTGTATTTTTTTTTTAATTTATGTTCAGAAATTATGCGTTTCACGGGTTATCTCCATCCGTGTCCAAATCCATTTTTAGAATGCTAACGTTTCGTGAACGCAGTTCATTTTATCATGGTGGAAATACTCAATATCAGGTTGCTTTTCATTCTAATGAAGTAAACTGCAATGTTCACGAAACGTTGGCATTCTAAGAACGGATTTGGACGGAGATAACCAAGATTGAGTAGTAACTAATTAAAAGTTAAAAAAAAAGTTAAAAAGTTAATAACTTTTAACTTAATTTAGTTAATTTTAAATGCATTAAATTTTAACTTAACTAAATTATTTTTAAACGTTAACTTTTTAACTTTTTTTTAAGTTAAAAATTTTTTTATCTCTTTTAAATATCTTAGAAAAATAATAAGGTATAATAAGACTAAGGGCGTATATTCGTAATCTGTTCATATTTTAAAATCATCTTAAGTAATTTCTTAAGAATGCTAATACAGCTCTGATTAATTTATGTAGTTATGCCTTATGTCATAAGCCTTAGTATGGAATAGATGTTTTAAGCCTTAAGTCATAAGAAATTGACCAATTACAATCAAATATTCTTCTCGCACTCAATTGTAATTGAGTAATCAATTTTTTATGGCTTAAGACTTATTAAAAAGTAATCTCTGATCTTGTATCTTCTCTATGTGCTGGCTCTATGGCTGTTTTTTTTAAGTTATATATTATATAACTTATATATTATATAACTTATAGTTATATCATTATGTGTTATATATTTATATCATATATGAATAAAAAAATTAAAAATTTAATTTACTTAATAATCTATATTGTAGTTATTTAATTTCATTTTAAGAAAAATTATTACATTATAATCTAAAAAATAATTTTTTTCAAAATTAACTTTTTTTTTAACTTAAGTTAATTCAGTATTAACTTAACTTACGTTAAGTTAATTTTTTACTCCTTCAACTTTTAACTTAACTTTATTAATTATGTAAAGCCATTAACTTTAACTTTATTCGGTTAAAAAAAAACATTAACTTATATACACATATACTCAATATATGTAGGCAATAATTTTTGTATGCCAACGAATTATCAACAAATATGATGTAGGTAAATGCACTATTGTAAGCAATCAATTTGTAGGCCAAAAGAGCTGTTTCTAAAGATTCCAAAACTGTTTATATTAGAATTTTCGAAACTATAAAAGAGAAAAAAGTAATTGTTATATAAAAAATGATTTAATTTGTTAATTTGTTAATTTGTTGTTTTTATGATTTAATTTGTAATACAAACAGCTTTAGGATCTTCTTAAAGAAACGTAAAATTATTTCATATTAATCATATTTATGCCGATATACATTATAATAATCTTGAAATCGTTGTACCTGTATCGCGATAGAACTATCAAAATTATGTAAAAATCTACAACTGAGGTTGTCAAAATGACAAGTGATTTCGTCATTCCAAACATTGCCAAAGTTGCTATCCGAACTGCAGTTATTGACTTCATCGTTGACGACGCCAATCTTCAAATTTTTCGGATTATTACCAATTGCTATAATAAATGTGCCAATTTGAAGTATTGGAAATACTACTGCGAAAATTACTCCTCTGAAAAAATTTTTATTTATTATTCATTTATTATTTATTATTATTATGAAATATATTACTGATAAATTTAACCTTTTTGAGATATAATGTTTTATATGCAACGATTCAGTGATGTACAAAAATAATACAGAAAATTTGAAATTAAAGCAGTTAAAACTCTTTATTTTCTGGACTCTTTATTTTAAGTATGTAAGTATATTTTGTATTCTATGTTCCTATATTCTATGCCCTATAAGTTTATGTCCTCTAAAAGAATTAATTATTAACATATATATACTTACGCATAATAACGCAAAAATTGGATGCTATTCTTTACTAATAGAGCTTTGAATCTTCTCAATCGCGAAACTTGACGTACCGAAACCGCTTCGTACTCTGACATTACCTTCAAAATTCAATTTATTTATAAAATAATATCGATTATATAGCTTTTTAATAATATTGATTAGGACATAGATTATTTCTACATTACACATGTACTTTTGTTAATTCACATTGATTTTGATCTTTATACAAGATATTACTGGTGTCTTCCCCTTCTTGAACTTCATTTAAAGTGATTGTGTTATTTTGGACATTACATAGTTTCAGAAAAGTTTCTTCCAAAGACGAGCTTTGAAATTGCTCCAGCAATTCCTGTGGTGCTGATTCCGCTAACAATTTACCACATCTAATCAAACCAATCTGTATAACAATGAAAATGTACAATATTAAATGATCAAAAAACGGTGGCAGTTTAGGCAAAATTTGCCTGTGATGAAAAGTATGATATCGATCAATTTTTATAGATTTGGACGTCCTAAACTCGAATATGAAGCTTAAAATTCTCCAAAATCTTAAAGGGGGAACTTTATGAAAATATAATTTTTTCGTTTTCAATTTAATTTTTTAGTTACATGAGATTCCAAAATAGTATCAGTATAAACCAGAGATTCATAAAGACGATTTTTCAATGTATAAAAGACTCAGACGAATCAGAAGAGGAAGATTTATAAAAATTCAAACTGATACATGACAAATATACTGACATATGACAAGATTCCTGAGTAGTCACCACAGTCATCATGATGTTAAAGCGAAAAATGACACATTAATTTTTATTAATTTTTATTAGCAAAAGTGCTTTTATTCAACGCGCATGCAGCTTATTTTAATTTACACGTGCCTTTTATCATTTTTTTTTTACGATTATTTACTGATCAGATAATAATAAGCATAGTTTTCATCCATTTTTACAAACGTTTTAAAGCAATCTCATCATTTTGTTTTATCCAAATTGTCTTTATTTATAAATAGCACGTAATAAAAATTAACGTGTCATTTCTCGCTTTTAACGTCGATTTAATATAGCTATAATGACTATTCAGGAGCCTTAACGAGACGGATTAGATTCTACAAGACATATTAAGAGATATTCAATTCAGTAATCACACGGTGTATCTTGGATAAAGCTAATGCTGATAGTGAAAAAACAGAAACGCACGCATGTCCACGCACATTGATACGGCCATTTATCTTTGTCATATTATTGTACGCCGTGTAACATTGACTTTTACATTGTATAAAGGTTTCTTGTTCAGTTATACTATTTGTTCATCGGGAAATACATACATTTTCCTGCAAAGTAAAGCTTAAAATTCTCCAAAGTTCCCTGGACTTTGGAGAATTTTAAACTTCATATTTGAATTCAGCACATTCAAATCTATAAAGATTGACCAATTTCATATGTTTTCATCACAAGCAAAATTTTAGCCCTAAACTACCATTTTTTGTATCATCGACCAAAACACATTTTTTTACATATAATAATTTTATAATATCCGTATTCATAGTTTTTTTTTGAGAAATGAAGATTCCTTGTTCCTCGTTTCTTCCTTGTTCCGTTTCATAAATTTTCCTTGACCAAACAAGGAGACTTATTAGTTTCCTATTTTTAAGGGAGATTATGAATTTCCTTGAGGAGGAAGTGCCTTCATAACTAACCTAATACAACTTGCAACGTTTGCAAATTGAGCACATCATGTTATCCCTTCCACCGTAGATACCGCTGGAGGGGAAGGTCCCCGCTACATGCCAATTTTTAAAAAAACAATTTTCGTGTCGCTGAAAAACCCAGATAGCCAAATAAGGGTAATATATTGCCATTTTGCTGTCATTCATTCCACTAAACTAAAGTCAAGATTTCCACAAACTGTCTGTTGTTCTGTATCACTTCCTTAGAATTCAGCAAACTGCTGGCAAGTTGTCATCATGCGTGCATGGCGTGCCGTCAGTTTGCTGTCAATGTGACAAGTTATTTCTCAATGTATACTCTTATAATTTCATAAACTCATGAAATCTATTTGCCGTCTGATGCTAACTCAGTTCACATTAGATTCTAATGAGCAAATTGTCGATAAGTTGAAAACAATACATGCAGTGCATCAATTTGTTCCATATGCTAAATCCCGTTTAGCTATTTGGAAATAAAGGTCTTTAATTTTTGGATAACTTTCGTATTATGACATGCTGCCTTCAGTAGGTTACTAAAATCCCTTAATATTCCTTCCTTCGGGAACTTGAGATCCGTTTATGAAATAAGAAGCCCTTAGAGAATTGAGGAATCCTTCACAGAAGCTTTCTTCATCTTTAAAATAAAGAAGGACTATAAATACGGGTGTAAAAGCTTAAAAAGTATTTCCTAATAATTTTTTTTATATAAATATTATTACAACTATTTTAATAGAAACAAGACGCACTTTATTAGCATCTTTAGTTTCTTCAATGTAGTGTGTTGTGATCAGCACTGTGATATTTTCCTCCTGCGTGATTTGGATCATGTAGGCCCAAATTCTACGAAGAAAAAGTACATCCAAACATTTTCTTATTATTCTTTATATTGTGTTTAAAATGAACAAAATCTACTTGCTTCTCCCTCAAAATTGGATCCAAGCCCACAGTGGGTTCGTCGAGAATTAGAAGTTTGGGTTTGTGAATTAATGCAACAGCAAGAGAAACTTTTCTTTGTTGACCTCCACTTATGTTCTTCACTAAGCGATTTGCTGGGGGTAGTTGAAGCAACTCCGAGAAGAATCTCTGTCTCGTCTCTGAGAAATAATACGGGAAAGCTAGTCGTTTGAATTAACTTACATTATGAAATATTTCGCATACGAATAATTTAAAACAAAAACTGATACGGTTTACAAGATGTTTACTCAAAAATAAATTCAGTTTTGTAAAACTGAAACCTCTTAGAAAATGTGTGACATTTCACATACAACGAATGCTAATATTTTTTTTATTACATCCTACCGATCTCCTCATCGTCGAGCCCATTAATTCTACCGAAATAATAGAAGGCACCGCTCACGGAAAACTCTCCAACCAAGGAAATCTCTTGCGGCATATAACCTACTCGAGGTCCAGGGATGCCAGAGTCCTTGGTATCCGGATTTCCTCCCAAGACCCATACTTCTCCGCTATCAAGATATCGAATCCCGACGATGCAGGACAATAGTGTGGTCTTGCCACATCCACTAGATCCCAACAATCCGTATCTGTTTAAAAGAAAAATTTCATTTACATGCTTTATCTTATTTGGGTAATATGTTCGAATGAAATTTTTTATTTAAATTTTCTTATTTGAATAATCATTAAGAAGTTATATGATTATCCTATCGTATATTTTGCGCAAACGACAGCAATTTAAGAAATCGATGAATGTACATGGAAAATAGAAATTTATTCTTGTTTCTTGAATAATGTAAAAATCGCGCAGATAATCGCGAAACTTAATTAATTTTATGGCATTTTCTTTCTTTTCTATGGAGCATCTTTTTAATTATTCTTTTCGAAAAATTATTTGTTAACAACTTGAAGCGGAAATAAATACGAAGATGATTAATCTTTTGTATTAACATGATAAATATGGTTATTTACATGGAACCTCTTGAAACAGTCATATTCAGGCCATTGAACACCAACTCTTTCCCATAACGCTTTACGGCGTTCCTTATGACTACTGCCTCTCGTTGTACCATTTTACAAAATGGTGATGAACGTTTGATTAGTGGCCAAACTATAACAATTTTTTCTCAAATGATTTAAAAATGAATTGTGATTTACACATTTAATTGTGGGAACAATTAACTTTTTAAAGTGTTATTAAATTAAATTAAATTTCAATTAAATATAAGAGGTATTAAAAGGTCACGTTGATTTATAATAAGCAAATATTTTTCAAAATATTATTTTGTTTCAATGATAGTCATTTTTATTATTGACAATTAATGAAGACAATATATAAAAAATGCATCTGTATTGAATCACATTCTTCTTATGCTTTTAATTTAATTATATTTTATTTAATCGTATTTTTCTTACATTTTCAAAATTTTAAAAGTTTACAGAATTTGCGTAAGATACATGTGATAATTAATGATAAAACAATTTGAAATACCTTATTTATCTTATTTAAATATAGAAAAATAATTTTCGAAAAATAGAAGCATAAATAAAGAAAAATATTTAATATCTTAAAAATGATTTATTATCTGTGATCAAAGTGGAATTATATATTAGGTGTGGGAAAAATTTCGTGGCGTTTTTCCCGTTAGATGGCCCGTTAGATTAAAAAAATTTTATATCAAGAAGAAACATTCAATATGCTCGCCAAATCAAATCGAAATCGATGCAGTAAGAGATACTTTATAATCTCCTCTTGTAAAATATTTATAATTTGTTCTTATTTTTAAGACCATCTTAAGAATAGTTTTAAGATGTTAATTCATGATAATTCAACTATAAAATTGTTTAGCATCTTAAAGTGGATATTTTTAATGGATTATTAAAGCGATCTTAAAATATGAAATAAATCATGAACCGGTTTTGACTGTACTGACATAATATCACTTTTAATTTTGAAAGAACGCTTGGCAATCGATAACTCGTGAAGGCTCCGTCAAAAAAATATTCTTAGGATAAATCAATATAAATAAATAGAAGGGCTATGAACCAGTTAAAAATTATTTAAAAACATTTAATATTCCGAAATATAATACATATTTTTAATATGATAACAAAATTATAAAAAAAAATATTTGAGTATTCTAAATCACATTAAAAACTTTCTCTTCCAAAAGAAACAATATTTTTCGCTATGAGATCCCACTACTTTCATAAGATTATATGTTCAGCATGTGAATAGTTGATGAAAGACAGCCATACTGCATTTCTTTGGATACATTCATGATGCGTGCGCAGAACTTGTACAATTTCGGGGTCCATTTCACATAAGCTTGCCCTAAGGAGTAAAGACCCTTTAATCAGAGACTGGCTATAAGGATTTTCGTTAAATTTCTTCAAGCGAGAAAGAAGTATAGGCCATCTCACTTCTCCACCAATATCGGTGTGTATGTATAAACATCGCTGTTGGTGGAGGAGTGAGATGACTTCTTTCTCACTTGAAGAAATTTGACGAAATCCTTATGATCAGTTTCTAATTAAAGGGTCTCTACTAAGGAGTTAGCAGTCTAGTAGTATATATAGAAGTCTGTGGACCTTATATCATGATACGGATAACACAGTGTCTGCAGTTGGTCTCTCTCTCTCTCTCTCTCTCTCTCTCTCTCTCTCTCTCTCTCCTCCCTCTCCCCCCTCCATCCCCCTCTCTCTCTCTCTCTAAATCTCTGTTCTCTCTGTCTGTAGATGTTCATGAGATTCAAGAGCTACAATTGTGAAACGCAAACATGGGACGGTATTCACAATCCGTTTTTATTATAAAATTATCTTAAATATAAATAAAAATAAAAAATTATAAAACTATCTTAAATATCTTAAGATATTAATATGTCCTCGAATTAACTTACATCTTAAGATTGTACTTAAAACAGTTTTAAATGTAAAAATCGACTATAAATATCGGCCTGTTTCGCATCATGAAATTGATATTGAATCTTTCCTTGTACAAGAAAAATTGATTATGCAAAAAAAAAGATTAATCTCGGAAATGGTCCACATTAAAAAGCAGAAGCTCTCAGAAGTAAGCAGAAGTCTCTTTAACTATTTTTATATTTATAAAAAATTGTAATTTATTTTTCATAATTATAATCATAATTTATTTCATAGTGTTTTAAATAACTACATTTAGAACTATTTTGGCGTTACCCAAGGATACACCACGTGAAGGCAAAATCCACTTGGCATCCCTCTTTTTTTAATTTTTTTTATTTTTAAATTCTTTTTACTTTACTAAAGAAATGCCAAGCGCACTGTGAATAGCAGACATCTTGGATAATTAACACCAGTGGTACTGTAACTTTCAAGTCTCAACTCAAAAAGTATTATATATATTAATAAAAAAAAGTACTTAATAAAAAAATATTTTGTTTTAGTCTTTTGAAGGGTTCAAAAGAACACAAGATACGGTAAATGTTCACTTTGAGGGAGACTTCTCCTTGATCTTGACATGTTGTCATTGCGTTATCAACTAAAGCTTAAACTATTTCAATTGATCAAATGAAATAGTACACTCCTTTATGTAAGAATAGACAGATTAATTTTAAAGCAGTGAAAATCCATACTTTAAGCAATAATTTTGCTACTCACTTTTGTTAGCAGTTAAAATGTTCATTGCTACAGATTTACAATATAAGCTACAAAAATATGCAATGAAAAATAGGGATTTCCATTTTAAAAAATCGATTGACGATGTCACTCAAAATTAAACTGATAAGACCAGTATAGATAGATCTTTTTAAACCTTACCACTTTTATCTAAAACAGTTTTCTATAAAATTTATATTTTTCGAGATATTTCGAAGTCCCAGCATTTTTTCCTTATCCTGTAGGGTAAAACCACTAATTATGGATTACTTTAAAAAAAAAAATCACATTTTTATCCAGAACGATATCGAACAATTAATAAAATATTTAATAGTTATAATTGATTATAAACATTACGAATGATTTTTTATTTATAAAACATTCGCCCCGGAAAGTTGAGAGGTCCCAAGTTCAAATCCTGGCTGAGATAAATTTTTTACAATAAAAGTTTCTTATTGGAGGGATTATACAAGATCATAAATTTTGAACAATTGCTTTTGTGTAGATAGAGCGGACTAAACTGAGTCGAAAAGTCTTCTATCATTTTGCAATTTTCGCAATAGTTAACAAGATATTAATTACTAAAAATCACTGAATATTGATTTTCAATAATTTTTTATTCAAATACTATCAACTTTATAGAAAAACAGCGAGAGACAAAAATTGTTTATTTTCTATTATTTTATGTTTTAATTTTAATTAAATAAAGTAATGACAATTATTCACATTTAGACCCCATGTATTAATTGCGGAGCAGTTGCTTTATTTGTTTTTAGATTTAATTTTAAGTATGATATTGATTTTTTTTCATAAAATCTAATGCTATTTATTACCTCCTGGAACTAATAAAGCAATTCTTATAGAGTATTACACTTTGAATATTAACTTTTTTAAAGATATACATACCTTAATAACTTTAGTTTATCTGTCACGTTTTATTAATTAATGACATCAGTAAAATTCAACACTGTTGCTAAATAAAAAACAATTAACACTTGAAAATAAATAAAAATGTTAAAGAATCTTGTGATATGCATCATTTGATGGAAAATATTATAATTACAATATTTAAATATAATATGTTATCCGGAATTAGTGCCTGATCCGCATTTAGTGCTTTTATCATACATGTATAGGAAATATTGTTAACAAAAATTAATTGCAAACATTTCTGTATACCACCCGCACTCATTTCATGCAGCACCTTCAGCTTGTATTTTTTTTACTCTATTTTTCACGCAGCATCTTCTGCTCGTATTTTCTTGTAATAGGAAATGACAAAGCAATTAAATATCAAGAACATTCTGCGTATGCATAAGTTTTTATTACGCGGAGTTAGATAACATTTACCATTTGTTACTTTTTATGACTATTTACCACAATCATTTAAATAATTTTACCATAGTCATTTAAATATATGAAAAGATTGTAATCATAATATTTAATTATACCTCACAAATTAAGGAAAGAAAATAAAGAAAGAATATTATTTAATTTATTATTCATGTATCGTAACAAATATACAGTCTAACTATGACCGGTAAAAACTTCCATAATTTTATATATACGCGCAATATTTTTGAATTATTGTTATCTTTATCATCCTCCTATTACGAAAATGCATCATCTCGTTAGGAAAATGTAAGCAGAACGTCCCAAATGAGAACGGATTGAAATGGATTAAAATGGATTCAGATTTTCAGAAATATGGATTCATGAATATTAAAATGAATCTTTTTCAATCCTGAATGCATTTTTATTCATTTATATGGAGGAATGACATGGAGTATATTTTTATGCTTTTTAAGTCCGATTGCACCAATGTTTTGATTTTAACTTTGATTTTAAACAAGGTTTAAAACTCTCTTTGTCTTTGTCTCTTTTTCGATTTTAAAACGAGACAGAAAAAGTTTTAAGTCTCACTTAAAGTCAAAGTAACATTAGTGCAACCGGTCATAGTCTAAAAATAATATTATAGTATTTTGTGTGCATCGTGAATACTATTTAATTTCAAATTCTGAATAGCAAATATAATATTTTTTAATCCATTTGAATATAAAAATTATAGCGGCCATATCTGTGCATGGAAATTCGATTTAAAGAGAATGCTGGAATTACTGCCGACAAAACACTCATTCGTACTTTTCCAATATCATTTCGTTTTTTCCTTATATAAAATAAAAAGTTAAAAGTTAAAAGTTAAAAAATTAATTAATTTTAACTTCATTTAGTTACATTTGAGACTCTTAACTTTTTAACTCTACTTAGTTATATTTATCGGTAACTATTAATTTTTAATTTGACTTTTTAAAAGTTAACATTCGGGTTAGGTAGTTGGCGTTATACGGATTCTATACTCGAATTATATGTATTTTTCTAATTTTAAATAATTTGAAATATTTCATTTACTTTTAAACAAAGAATAAAAAGATTTGAAAGCGATCCATCGGAAAAAAATGTT